GATACACCCATTGCAAAAGGAGATAAATTCAGTTTGCTTCAATGCCCAAGAAATGAAGTTGAAAAGCAAGAGATGGATAAGATCCCTTATGCATCGGCAGTAGGGAGTCTTATGTATGCTCAAGTTTGTACGCGTCCGGATATTGCGTACATTGTTGGAATGCTTGGTAGATATTTAAGTAACCCAGGAATGGATCATTGGAAAGCAGTGAAACGGGTTATGAGGTATCTAAAAAGGACAAAAGATTTCATGCTCACATATCAGAGATCTGATCATTTAGAGATCGTGGGGTACTCCGACTCTGATTTTGCTGGTTGCCTCGATAGCAGGAGATCCACTTCAGGCTATATTTTCATGTTGGCTGGAGGAGCTATTTCTTGGAAAAGTGTCAAGCAGACACTTATAGCTTCTTCAACAATGGAAGCAGAGTTTATAGCTTGTTATGAGGCTTCAAATCAAGGAATATGGCTGCGAAATTTTATCACAGGGCTACATATTGTTGATGGCATTGAGAGACCATTAAAGATAAATTGTGATAATAAAGCAGCTGAGTTATATTCCAAGAACAACAGGAGTTCGTCAAAATCAAAGCATATTGACATAAAGTTTCTTGTTGTGAAAGAAAGGGTTCAGAGTTCTCAAATTTGTATTGAACATATTAGTACAAACTTTATGATTGCAGACCCACTTACAAAAGGATTACCACCTAAAGTATTTCATGAGCATGTGGCTCGTATGGGTGTAATCTGTTTTGATATGCTAGCTTAGTGGGAGTTTGTTTGTATTGTTCAATTATTATGAACTTAATTTCTGATCAGACTAAAGTATTGTTATTTTGGTGATTGAAAACTCTGAAATACAGTTATTTGATTTCAATTGCAGTTTAGCATAAAGTATTGAATTTTGGTTATAACTCTTTTGAGTTATAAAATTGGACCAGTTGAAAATAGTCATGATTTGAGATCACATTACATGAAATTTTCATGCTACACATCCATACTTGATGTTTAAGTATATAAGGGTCGTGATCCCCAGTTTAAGCGGAGAAGTTCTGATTTCTCTCATTTCCCATCTTGAGTGAAAAGAAGGGGTCTCTCGCTCTCTTGGAGAACGCCGCTCTAAATGTGGAAGATCGAAAGACCTTGATTCTGCTTTTCAATGGATTCAGGTACGCTTTCAAAAATTCTTCTCGATGATTTGGCATATCGTTCGGAGACGATCGAATTGATTTTTGTGTCTCCATGAAATCCTAACATTGAATCCGTAGTAGGACCATCAAACTAACGAACCAGCCCTGGTTTGACCATGAGAAGCATTATCTATTTAACATTGCTATACTATTTCCTAAACATGCCCATCCAAAATGATATGATTACAAAAGCTTTCGCCACTGAATGAAGATCATAGTTTAACTAAGATACCAAAAAAAGCATGCACTACATAGCTGCTACTCTTTTTTTCATAACTTTAAGTCATCTTTAACTTAACAAACGAGGTAGAAGCAAGAAGTGGGAAAGATGGATTTTACTTGATGTCAAGAAATAATTATACTGACATGCAAAAAAAATATGAATAAAATATTGTCTATTAACATGTTTCAGCAACATGAGAAAAAATGAAACTCTTGCATAAATATGTTAAAGCAAAATTTTATAAAAAAAAAAAGTTAAAGAAAAATTGTTTGATCAAACAAGGGCTAATTATAGATTAAAATCATAACGGCTTAATCCAACCTAATTATTCCCTGCCAAGGTTTGAGATTATACGGTTAAAACTACAATCAAATCGATCAAACTCATTTAGTAACACAATTAAATTTTTGCAACTAAACACAAAGGCCTCACGCGATACCCACCAAAAAATTCATCATCCACTCGAGTGAAACGAGCTACCATGAGAGCGCAATACAACTTTGCAGGATGCTTTTCAAAATGGTAGAGAAACTATAAGATCTCAAAAATTTCTTTTGTTCATTTTATTTTTAATTGTTTCACATACTAGATAAAGATAACTGAAGATTATATTTTGTAATAACTCACATATTTGAAACAAATTTATTTGAAAAAAATTAAAAATTATGAAGTTGAGCTCTTTGGCACTGATTTGGTGAGCGTTGCGGCATTAGGCCAATATATATATATATATATATATATATATATCCTTGCCTCACCCTACTAACTCTCTCACTTGGTTGCTTGGCCAGGAAGAAATTAAAAGAGGGGAAGAAGGGAGAGGATAGAGTAAGGTCTTTGGATTATATTTGTTAGTCATTCATGTTAAATATTTTGTTCTATTTGTTATAAGTGACTAATATTTTACTTCTATTTTCATTAATTTTGATTTCTAAGGATTTTATTTATCCTAAATTTGTCAAAAATGCATTATCTTCTGATTTCATAAACCTTAATCGTGCAAATTTAGATATGTTATATATTTGATCATTTTAAATAATTTGACGTGATTTTAATATATTTTAAATGAAGTACTGAATGATATCAGATATATGATATGATAACTCCATATGATACCCTACTGATTCACATGATTCATTTATTGAGAGTCATAAGGAGATTGATTAGGAGTTATAAGGGTCGGGGCAATTAATTCACATAATTTAATGAGAGTTATAAGGAGTATATTGATTGAGAGTTATAAGGGGCGATTAATTGGTACTCATAAGTGCAAGAGCAAGATACCCTTAAGATAGACTCATTAATTATCTGAAAATTGATATCGATACTACTATGAAAACTATATTGATATTGTGACTGACACTAATAATATTTACTGTCATTAACACTATTTAATGTTATTGATTATGATACTAATATTATTATTGGCATTGATATTATTGACTATTTCTGATATTGTGATTGATAGTATAATAGATTGAGATATGATGAATTATAGAAGAATAAATTTATACAGATAATTAATATATACATTGATGAATAAAAATTTTATATGATTTACATTATATTATTCTCTTTTATTTTGCATTAATTTCAGTTGTAAGATTTTAGTTACTTGTTGGGCTATGTGTTCATTACATGATTTTATATATTTTTAAGAAAGGATAAGGATTCTATAATATGAAGCTCTGGACAAAACAAAAATGTAGTCATGTTTCTTTTTGTTATTTATTGGTAAGCTCTAGTTAAATGATTAAACTGAAATATAGATGCAATTTTTCTAATATAGATCATGGAGTGTAACATATATATACACTCCTTAATGTCCAATATACAATAGAGGCTCGCTCATAAGTATGCATTCCTCCCCCAATGCAATATTGTTTGGTCATCATATGCGGGAATCGGAAGCCACAGGATGGCCGGACCACCTTGTGAGGGAACTTGGCGACGCATGGTGTGTCGCTTGGTATTGTTATTATAGTTACTCTCCATTTATCAGATTAATTATAAATCCTGCTTAAGTAATTTGTGAAATATTTATTCATATTTTATGAACTTAATTGATGCCACATTTATGTTATGCGTTATTCATTTATTTATTTATGTTTTGTAGAGTTAGTTGTTGTATTATTAGTTTATTTTTAGCTGTCGCATATGCTTAATGAATGTCAAAATAGTGCCATAGGAACCATAGGATGTTAAACGACTACGGAGGTGAAGTTAATTTTATTAATTTTTAATAATATTATAATTACTTATGTCATCCGGTTCAACCGATCTCAACCCTAGTTCGACCGGTCGAACTGGTTTAACTGTGAACCTCTCCTTCATCCAGTTCATTGTTTGGGCTGAGGTTCACAATCTTGTAATTATAAAATGTGTATAAAATGTGTGCATCTATAATGGGATGAATTGAAGCTAGATGATAATAACAGCGCTTTTACTCATGATGAACAATGATAAGCACATAATAATTATTAAGGATAATTAGAAAGAAATGAGGGTGATGTGATTCAAGCTTTTACTATGTTAATAATTCAAAATTTTAAATTTCTATGAAATAAACTAGCTATGCAAAATTAATCTCCCACCATAGCTCTTGGCCATCATTAAAATCTTAACTTTTTCTTTTCAAAATCATAGTGACTAAAAGTTAAGATTTTAATGTTGGCCAAGAGCTATGGTGGGAGATTAATTTTGCAAGTTGGAGATTAATTTTGCAGGCTAAGTTTGGTGATGTTGGGGTCTTAATTGAGAGTTTATAATGAGATTCAGGTTTTGATTGTGATGATTTTTTTACTATTTTAAAGCAGATTTTTAGCACAAAAATTTCTTAAAAGCAAAGACAAAGCAACGGTCTAAAGCTGTCATAAACGAAGCCTCAATGATTGTGATGTGCATGAGAAGAGGAGAGGGTATTGGGATGATGAAGAAAGCTTTAGAGTTGGGTCTTAGTCATCAAAAGTCTATGGGATGAATTAGAGTTTTTAGCTAAGCTAAATTAGGGTTTTCATATAGGAATGAGATAATGACTTGCATTAAACTCAGAAGGATAATGGTAATAACTGATATTGATCCAATCAATCATATCAAGAAATGAAATCAAAGCTAGCTTGGATCATCAATAGTATGGGCTAAAGGACTAAACGAGGGTGTTGAACTCAGATATATATAACTAGTCTAACTTGAGAATTGCAAGCTCAATAAAAAGAGTTGAAAAAAAACAAGTTGAATTAAAAAAACCTAAGAACTAAGTGAAATTTTAACGTTTCAAATTTTGATGCCAACAAGAGGCAGTAACGGCTTTCTCCACTTGTGAGTTCATGGTTTATTTTTAATGATTTGCATAAGTGGAGCACAAAGTTGTTATAAGATCACCTTAAGCTTCATTCTTTAGAAGAGAATCTTTTGAAATTATGGAATGTTGCAGTACATCATAATCATTATCATTAATGTCATCATCTTAAAGTATAGTTTTCATTCACCTATAATATATATATATATATGATTTAAGTTAGCTTTATCCTGCTCATAAAAACTGTCTCAACATCATAAAATAAAGCAGTCTACATGAAACAAACAAAATGACTGGGGAACATCAAATCACTTCCTTCTTTTGCTTCATTAATAATGCATCCATTATTTGGCTGAAATTACAAAAAAGAAAAAAAAAAGTAAATAAAAGAAATACACCATGCTTAACCCACGGCAAAGACAAGAATGAACTACTTGGTAGTACATTCTTGTTAAATCAATAAACCGGAAATAACACTCGCATCACACAGACTAAATGCATGCAGGAGCATAAAAGTAGGGTATATGAACAAAAACTATTGAGTAAGGTGCAACATATACTGGTTCACGACCATCAACTTTGACAGATTGTAATACAGGGATGCCATCATTAGCATCCAAGTCCAGTATATTTCCATTAAGCAGCACGGTTTGGCTGTGCAAGTTCCCATCCAAGGCTGTCAAATGGTATTCTTCCCTCGTCCCTTCTGCTATCTTATGTTCTTTAGCTACATGAGCATGGCTGAACCTTGTTCGAGAACGTCTGTGAAGTTTCACAGCTTTAAGATGAGCAGTAACATTCACTTGTGCTGTCGAATTGCCATCGAGATTCAGCAAGAGGAGTGTTATCCCTTTCTGTAATGAGACTGGAGAAGATCAGACAAGTAACTAAGAGACAGAAGATCACTTGGCTTAGAATATGTTTAGCTTACAGAATCTCTTGCACAGTGTGCATATGCTCTTATCATCTTTGTCCCATTAAATGTAGCTGATAGGGCCTTTGGACCGATCAAGCGATGCCACAAGAGAGCACTGTACAAAAATTTAGTGATAAGCAAACTTAACTAAATTTGCCACTGAAAGACTGAAAATTCATTACCTATAGTAATCTGGGTTTGGTTTAAACGTGTTGGTGTTTAGTAGACCATAATTTCCACCAATCAAACTCTGTCTGCAGTAAGTCTTGGTGTCATACAAAGATGACATTCCAAGCTGGTCCAAATACCTGTATTGAACAGGAAATGATCAGCCTTTCTTATCTTAAGCAGGTTTCCAGTTTAGAAATCAAAGAACACAAGGCACAAATCTAGCTACCAGAAACTAAAAACAAATGCATCGGTCACTAGATGTTGGCCACTGTTGTAAGCTCCACCAGCTTCACCAACCCAGGCTGAAGTGGAAGCACCGGTACTCTTGAGAATGTCCCTAAGATTGCTGAACGTGGATGCCTCGCCATCCAGATATGAAGGGTTAAGAATCTTTTGAACCAAATTTGGGTCAACACCTGTGTACTAAGAGTTTATGAGGCTAAGTTTTCGCATGGAAAGCCATGCATTATCAATTAGTTCTCGTAAAATACCTGGTCCAAGGTTATATATGTGGTGACTGATTACATCTAATGAGGAAGATTTTGTTTTAATAAGAAACTCACGAAACCAATTTGCATCAAAGAAACCCCCAGGAGCAAGCACTAATGGTTTAAATTGGGAACCATGATAGGCCTCATCGACAATAAATCTAAGATTGTTCAAGTCTGCTGCATATTGATCTGCGTTGATTCGAGCTCCAACTCCACTGCCACTTAGCTCATTCCCTGTCAAGCAAAAAAAGGGAAAAAGAAGTTTAGCAGCTTCTATATGATACCCAATTTCTGTTTTAATTAAAACCATATTGTCTTTCTCTGATTCCATTGTGCAGAAAGCTTATGAAATCTAACTGCTGGAGGAAAAACCAATTTTATATCTCCTTATCAACAGCCTTAATCTAATTATCAAGGTCAGCTTTGTGAATCCACATTAAGGCTTAGTTTGGAACGACTTTTTTTTTTTTTTTTTTTTTTTTTTAAAAAAGCAAAAATTTTTTTTTTTTTTTTTTTTGCTTTTTAAAACAGCTTCTTAGTACAAAATTTTTATTTTTTGTACTAAAAAACTGATTTAATAAACAATAAGAAGGCCTTCCGAAATGAAGCCTAAGGCTTCATTTGGGGTGACTTTACTGCTTTGTAAAACTACTTTTTAGTAAAAAAATCTTTTGGAAGCAGGAAAAAAAGTAGCGGCCTAAAGTTGTCTCAAACAAAGCCTAAGTTAATTCTAATCTAAATATGTATTGAATTTTGTATCCAAGCTGTATGAGCATGTTGATTTTGTTGGAAATTAAAAAAAAAACACTTAGAAACTAGTTAATCAATGGAGTGGTAATTTTCATATTAGAAATAAAAGATCAATAGATGATAAAATGAGGGGAATTAAAAAATAATTTCGAAAAAAGGCACTTAAGAGGTCCTTCCTGGCTTCCACCATGCGGCACTGTAATACAGGTGTTCGTATAACACACATTCCTTGTAGAATCAAACACTAAAATTTAGAATATGAAAGATTCATGGAGGAAGAGAAATAACCCAAAGATTGCTGTGTATGTGCATCCAGAGAAGACAAATGGATCTGTAAGTTTCGAAAATTATTTGAAGGGTCAAACTAATAACAAATTTAGCAAATTTATAATCAAACCGACCAATTTTCATGATGATTCTGATGGCACTGAATATGTCCAATACTAACATCTTTAATTTTAGGAAAGGGTGATTGACTGTTATTCAATACCATATTAACATCCTGTTAAAAGGGAACTTCCTCATAATAATTTTTTATTTTTCATTTAAGAAGAGGAAGAAAAAGTTGCCGCACTTACAATTGACCCATTCAAAACTAGAATGCGCAAAGATAATTTAATACTATTTTCTTTTCATTCTAAGAATTAAATCCAAAAGGCCAAAAGCTATAGTTCATTTTCCTTCCCAACCATATAAAGTATTATGCGCCCTCCATTTGCAGAATTATGTAGCTACAAATTCAATGAAAAGTTAGTAAAACGAAGAAGGGCAGAGATTCTGATTGGATACAGAACTTACCAAGCTCCCAGCCGGATACTGTGTAGCCCTTATTTACAGTATAACGAATTAGACTTGCAGCATTGGTGTAGTTCCATGGGCCACCTAGCGAACCATCCGACACAGGAACCCTTCCATTGAGTGCATTCAATCCAAAGATGACTGTAGCCCTACGATATAGGTGACATGTTAAGAAATGGAAGCTAGAGATAATAATAATAAGAAGAAGTTAATTTTAGAATATTATCTATTTAGGTAGGTAGAATGTTGTGACAATTTTAGGCCCGAGTTTCCGAAAAATGGGTCTATATTTGTTTCAATTTATGCAATTAAGATCAACATGGAATACATTGTAAGAGCTAAAACCCTTAATTATTGAGATATTGTCAGCTTTGTAGTAATGGCCTTACGATTTTATCCCTTTGTGTAACTTTCCAGGGGGTCATTATTTGCTATGGCTTAATGGCCTCATGATTTTGTTTTCTTGGTGTAACTTCCTAGGAGGTCACCCGTTTAGAGCTGTTCTTGTACGAACACACTTAACTTTATATTGAAATTCCAACCATTATACCAAAAGACACCTCAATATTCTAAGAGTTCAGCTTTATTTTTTTTAAAATGTTTTACACACATAACAGAAAATAAAGGATTAAACTTATAGGATACCCTGATTCTGTGAAGAATTCATTTAGCTGATCCCATCTTGACAAGGGCAAGCAGCCTTCAGTGAACCCAAACATCTCAGAACTGTTCTTGACAAATGGCCTGCAAGGTTTCTGAGGATCTCCGGTGTCATATATAACCTTATCTTGCAAAGAACCTCCTAAACGAAGCTTTAATGGAGAAAAAGCTGAAAGAGAACAGAAAAAGTTGGGAAATTTGATTTGAGGAATGCGAAATAATACCATGAATGTTCATACCCTTGATGGCATTCAGAAGGACTCGGCTAGAAAGGTTCTGCATCAAGCAAATGATGAAATATTCGTGTTAATCAGCTTCTCCAAAATCAATCTTGCTTTAAATTACAATTTCTTATGCATGTTCAAGAAATTATAGGATAATAAAATGAGTAAATCATCATATATAACCACTGATTCATTTGTAAATTAATGAAAAAGATCAACAGTAGTCTCGAAATTTAAAAAATGGAATTTTATAAGGTCAAACTTTGCATGACATGTACATGAAAAAGAAGCAAACGTCAAAATCTTTTTCCTAAAGTGAATCTGCATGACTGTCACAAGAAAAAAATTACCCGATTCCAAAGCTACCTCTATCCTGGGTACTTTCTCAACTAACTTGCCCACAATTAATTCACTCCACTAACATAAATGACAACATGCCGCATTTGCAAGTTACTTTCTTTGGAAGCAATTTGATTAAATCAATGTCAGAAAATAAGCCAAACATGACCAGCCCTGCCCCATCACCTCAGATTTCCACCATCAATTATTATGTGTGCAGAACATTGTCCGAAGATCAACTAAAATGCGCAACATCACCCCTTCGTTCGGCACCGCTCGGTACACGGCTCGGTACCGTTGACGTGGCTGCCTCTGATGTAGAGATGCGTCCAGCCTCCGCACAGAATAATTTCTCGACTTCCACAATCACCACAAACAACAACAATAACAACAAACAAACAAATAGATCCAAAGAACATAAATGCAACGCATTTATCCAATCACTACTTTTTAATATTCAAATCAAACCAACAAAGATCAGAAACCATTCCCCGCTTAAAGTTAAAGTCCCAAATAAATAAGTTTGTCAGAACCTCTTTCAGTGCTGACTTGCAGTTTAATGGTCAAAAAGAAGAACAACTCCACAATGGAGAACCATAGAAAAATTTAAATCTTGAGCAAAATCCACTTTTTGTAAAGGAAATTAAAAAAACCAAGTCACATTTGAATGAAATGAGGCCAAAAACACACCAGATTGAGAAGAGAGGCAAGGCCCCAGGCGCAGGTACCATAGTCGCATTTCTCCGGCGGCCACCAATCGAGAGTGGCGCAGATGAAGTGCTCGTCGGTGGACGAAATGGCGGCGGTTCCGTCGACGATGGCTGTTCCCTGCGTCACCGCTTCTGATCTAGCAGTCCACACCGGTGAAAGGCAGATTAGAGCGTTAAAGAGACAGAAAACCAGCCACCGGAGGAGACCTCCGGCCATCTATCCGTTACTCTTCAGCCGCGGAGCTGAAATGGAATGTAGGAAGAAAGAGGAAGTAGAAAGGCAACGCCTTTTTTTGGTGGAGAGAGGAGGAGGATGGGGGGCGTATAAGTATTAGCAGAGCTGTTGGGAGTGCAGAAAGAGGGGCTGGTAGGGAAAGATAAAAAAATAATCTTTTAATGCAGTTAGTGAGAGGAAGCTTGCATCCTCTTCCTTTTGGTTTCCACTAACTGGGGACAGACCTTAAAGGGAAATGGAAGAGAAGCAGAGGAAGACAGAGGAGAAGGTAGAGGTTGAGGAAACCATACTCCATCCATTATTTGTCTTTAAAGAAAGAGAAATATGAGGCTGAGCTCGTGAAGGAGCTGACATTAAAAAATTTATATATTATTTTTTATTTTTGAGCGGAACTTAGAAAATTATTGCTTGGAAAATCTCAAAATTTAACTGTAACAGCGGCATTACAAATTTAAATTTACAGCGAATTCATATTTTAAATGAGCGGAGAAATAAGTTGATAATATCTTATCTACTATTTTAGAAATAATGAATTAATATTTTATAATTTAAAAATATTCCTTGAAATATTTATATTGCTTTTATATTAATTATGAATTTTCATTCCCCTCATTCAATATAAAAAGATAATTATATATTAATTTGTATTTATTCGAAGTGATATATATACTGAAAATATTAAAAAGTTATAAATTAGGCTATATGTCACATTCAAAATTATTAAGCAAAGATCCAATGCATATAATCTTGATTTTCCATCTAATGTGCTAATTAATCAAAATTTTAATATTTAGTCTATTATTTCATAGAAAAGATATTTTTTTTAAAGATTTTTCTTATATCCTCATTAATATCTTAGAAGTGGACTCCATTATAACATAAAAATTGCCTACAAAATAAGTTGATGATCATTGATTCTTAATCAAATGAAAGAGTACACAATCTACTAAAATTTATGGATCATTATGGAAAATGTAGAGGTGGCATTGGAACTTGTTGATGAATGGTAAAAAATAACTTGATTGAGCAAATGGTTTCTTCTTTTTGGTGGGAGAGCAAAGTATCTTTTTATTCTATTTTTTCTTGGTTCTTACTAATTTCTCTACAAACTTACAACCCACTCACACCACATGATTTGTTATTCAAATAACCTTCTTGTATGATTTTCCAGTGAATAAATACGGAATAAATCCTAATTAGGATAAATCCGTAATGAAAGATGTTACTTAGTGACTCAATTTTGATCGTCTTAACTCAATTTATCTCTAAATATATTGAGGCTCGATCATATATTTTGGATCTGATCTACAAACATTCTCATAAAATCCAAGAACAATTCCATCCCTCAATGCATCCTTAAGCCCCTCCAATAACACAAGGTCTTAAAACTATACAAATATGACCAATCTAGGCCACCTTAACCTAGCTTGGCTTTTTCCTCATCCACTAGTCTCAAATCACTCATGACTTCACAAAGCACAAGATCACATATAAAGACTTTACCCTAATATTATTCTCAAGTAATTCCATGCCCTAAAATTTTCTATTATAAGAAACCCTACGTCAAAATCTCCAAGGAGAGCTTCAAGATTGGCTATAAGATATATAACCTCTCAGCTAACCCCTTCCTCTTAGCCACTGTCTCCAATAAAACTATTACAATCACTCGAAAAATGTCCCCCACATCCTTAGACTCCACTAAAGTAAGCAAAAATCTTAAATCATCCGCATCAAAATGTTCATCATATATATATTACATTTATATCCTTATCTTTATCCATAAATTATATAAGTTCTTTATGTCGGCAAGCATCTTTTGCTAATGTGAATGCTACAAATTATTTTTTTTAGAGAAAAAAATTATGTTCTCTATAATGAAAAATCTAAAAATTAAATATAGCATTTTCTTCCATAAAAGAATTTAACACTGTACTCTTTGGACTACCATGATGAGAATCGCATGACTAAACTTTTTCCCCAGTTGAAAAACAAGCATTTCTAGGTTTTTGGTAACTTATTTAATATTATATTATTTATGTCAATCATATGTCATGAATTTAATAATTTATACACATCGTGCAAAACGGGATATTTGCTAAAATTTCTACAGTTTTAATACTTTTAATTTTTTTATAATAATCATAAAAATAAGAAAATAAAAAATCTAATGCTTTTATAAAAAAATTATGACTAATTTAATAGATTTTTTTTTACTGTTAACATACACAAGTATTAAACTCAAGATCTTTTAGTTGATAATTAAAGCCCCCAACCAACATAAAAAAATGAGTTGCATATTTTTTTTTTATATGACTAACTCTTTAATTTTTCATAAGGAGTGATTTTTTTATTCCTTAGAATGTTATGCATGACAGTATAACTTTGGTACAGTAAAAATCACCAAAAATTCAATCATGATCGTAAAATAAAACACAAATAAATATTTTTAAAATTATATTTAGTATTATTAACATTTTGACTTGTATAAATTTATAGTAAAATTGAAAGTCAAGACAAGAAGAGGTCATCACACCAAATGTAATCCGAGCTGAGTTCAAATGAGCTCACGTTAGACACTTGAAGAGTTATTAGGAATCTTGGAATATTAACTTGATGAACAACTGACCTCCAAATATTGCATATTTATAATTAAATCTAGCATCTCGATGAGATGAATCCAACCAACCTAAGTTCGCTTTTGATTCTAGCATCATTAAAGCAACCAAATGTAATTCAACCCAAGTCAAAATGAGCTTAGATTAAGCCTTTAAAATATAATTTAAAACTTCCATATATTAATTAAATGATCAAATATTCTTCAAATCCTACGTGGTTATAATCAAATCAAGCGTCTCAACATGAAAAATCCAGTGATCCCAATTTCACTTAATTTTGACATTGATAATGGCACTCAAATGTTAAAATAATGATATATGATCAAGGAGATCAATACAAACGATTTGATGGATCAATATAGAGAATATCATTCTAAAAATTATAAATAGACCTGCACTTTTTATATGAATGGATGGCTAAGGAGGAAAAGTTTAGCTTGGCTTGGCTCTTGACATGAAATTGGAGATAACTCAATTGTTGAACAACAGCTATTTGACCACTAATGGCCAACTTAGTCCTCTAACCAATGTTGGCCGATTACAATTATCCAACAATCGTCGCCCGGCTACAATGTTCTAACCCCCATCACATGATTATGATCCTCTAATCACCTTCACCTGAATGTGATCTTCTGATCACCATCGCTAGACTAGACTCCTTTAGCCAACACCATCTGATTGCATTTTTCTTTGATCTCCATCGTTCAATTATGATATACTAATCACCAATGCCCAATTATTATTTTTTGACAATCATAGTCTCCTGACCATCATCATTCAACTATGATCATCCAATTATAGTCATCCAATTATGATATTATGACCATATTTGCCCAACTAAGATCTCTAAATCATTGTCATATAACTATGGTCTTTACCCATCATTGTCTCATCGTAGTCCTATAACCATTGTTGTACTACTATTATCCTTCAATCATTGTTATGTGACTATGATCATCTAACCAACATCGCTTGACCATGGACCTCCAAATGCCATCATTTGACTATAGTCTTCCGACCGCCATCCCTTAATGACGATCTTTGGGTGACTATTGCTTGGTTCAATTTTATGACCCCATCGTCTAACAAACGTTACCATATTATGATCATCTAACCCCTATCATTTGTTATGACTCTCCAAGTGCCACTGCCCAACCTCAATTGCTCAACTATAGTAACTTGACCACCATCATCCAACTATGGTTCTCTGATTACTATCATCCAACTATAGCTCTCTGACCACCGTTGTCTGACTACTATCTTTCGACTATCATTACATGGCTATAATCCTCTAGCCATTATCACCTGATTATGATCTTCTGACCACTGGCATCTACTTATGGTCCTCTAATCAATGTCGTCAATCTATAGTCATCTAACCTTCATTGCTCGATTATTTCAACTAGGTAAAACCACATTATATTTTTTTCCCCAAGTATTTCACTCTTGGGGCTTTCTTTTAGCTGTGTGTTAGATCTTTATATAATATTAAGTTATTATGTGTGTGCCATACAACAAACCTTAAAATTAAATTACAACTTTTTTATTATATCAATTAATTGATATTCATCAAAGGGAGAGTACTTATTAGTAATGCTACGAAGGAAAAAAATTAGCCTGAAAATTTTATAAAAAAAATGATTGATCAAAATTCTTATATTAATACATCATTTTTATATAGCCATAATGTAGCCAGGGTAATTTAATAATTTTATGAAAAAGATTATGGCAGAGTTTTCTAGATGCTTATTCTTTCTTTGTTAAGAACTCCAATGAGAACTTCGTTTTCAAGCAATATGTGCCATATGAATAAATGTAAGGGGTTTTCCTTAATGGGTAATTTATGAGTCAAATTATTTTATAGGTTATTAAGAGTTATTTGGTTATTAAATAGGTTATCATCTACTTTTCCAACGTCTACTTATCCAACCTATAATTATTCTTCTGTAGAAATTAGGGTTGTAAAGACATAATGGACGAACTTGGACTTAATGGTTGCTCGTCTGCACCCTCGATTTTTCAAGTTATAGATTTCCTTGAATTGCCTATACATAAATGGTTAGACTATAAATGATTACCTCAAATGGCCTTATTATTTTTTAAAATTTAAATCACATTCAATTATAGTTTTCTATTTTATTTTTATATTTGTTAATAATTAATTAAAATTAATATTGACATTTGTGTTCATGATTGTAATTAAAATGTAGTAGTAATTGTATCAATTTATAGAGGAATACATTTAATTAATATTTTAAGGAATATCAACTCTTAAATCTTGTGTAGTTATTTTTTTAAGAGAATAGGCAATTGAAACTGCTGAAATTTACTATGAACTGACTCCTTTGATTGCAAGCATGCATCAAAGCATGATAGCTCTTTGTGGTTTAGTTCTCTTTATCTCCTTTTTCCACAAGATAGATCTTTCCATAGCAATCTTATGCTTAATTTTACATTTTTCTAATAAGGATTTTAAATATTTGATGCAAAAAAAAAAAAAAGATTCCTCATCATTTATAATGACTTTAGGAATTCAAAATCTACTGAAAAAATATATTAATTTTTTATTTGATAATAACTTTAGTATCTTTACTAGGTGATGCTATGAATTATATCCATTTAGATATATAATCTATTACTATAAGGATGTATTGATTTTTGTAAGAAGCAATCAATGGACCCATAAAATGTTTTCCCTAAACATAAAATA